AGAGAGAGAGAGAGAGCTGTTAACACCTGACTCCACCACAGTATGGACGTGAGTCAGAAATTTATCTTGCCAGGTTCGTTGGGCATGTTATATAGTCATTATTAGTCGGACCCCTCCGCGTGAGCAACGGTGCCGCGATGAATCTGACTAGGACATCGACGAGGAACCCCAGAAACGACGGGAAACGAGTGACTGGCGACAATGAAATGATGATCCAAATAGGGCTCACGAGTTCGGGCTGTCCAGAGTGAAAGGCAATCGCTTCGCGATCTTTGCCTTGTTTGATGCCCGCCGAGACGCCGACACCGTGCGGATTGGGGAATGGGGATCTTGAGCCGGCCGGAGTAGAAACAACAGTTCAACCAGTCTTACCGGGCAACTATAGTCTTGTCATATTGATTGATATTGGCAAAAGTAAAGGTCAAGATGTCAGCGGAAGGAATCCGGATGGATTTTGGAGCAGCCCAGACAGGGTCGACAGCATCTGTGGGGTGAAGTTGGGATAGAGGCATGGTGTAACGAGGGGCTTGCAGACAGCAAAGACAGGTGTCACAGCACTCTATTCTCTGCATGAAGCAAAACCTTAATAAATCAGATGCTGATGCTGAAAGCCTACCGAAAACACCGTCAGTATCATCACAGCCAATAGTCCTGCACAGCCATGTGACTCTGTTGACCTAACCACTCCTTCAGCCCGTTACAATAGCATTTATCATGGTGTCCGTTTTGTCCAGTAGATCGAGTGCAACTCATGGGGATCCTACAGTATAACGCCTTATCGACCCCAATAGTCTACATAAACCTATATACTTTCCGCCTCTACTTCGCTAGTGAGTGGTCTCAGTAACGCAAGGAAGAAGCAAGGAGGTAAGGACGGCCATTCCTTCTCTCTTTCTCTTCGGATTTGGCCTCCTTGTTACTAGGTTGGCTAGCTAGTTGCAGAACTCTTTCCAAACCCTCACACTTCTAGCCTTTTCCTACAACATCAATGATTTCATCCCTCAGCATTCTATTCTACAAGGTTCCGCTTTTAGAGATGACTGTAGCAATATCTCTCTCGTGGAATCCGGGCCACGAGTATAGCGCGAACGAGGTAATAAATATGTCTACCTTCAACTCTACCTTCTGATAAGGATACTGTAGGATGGAACAACGACAGATATCACACAAAGTTCGATTGAATCCGCCTTTTATTTCGCGCTCCCAAACGGTTTGCACATCACCCAAAGGTCGAACTCTAAGTGGATCATAAAATTCCCTGAGCAAAGCGAGGAATATACGGGGGCTGCAATGAGAGACGTTCAGGAGAACAACCCGTGGTGTGAGCTAGTCATTGATCTATACTGTACCGAATGAATACTTTCTAACTGCATTGTTCAGTTGTGCTCGAGGAGATTCAGGAGTAAAGAGCCAGAATTCTCTTCCTGGGCTGCACTCATTCGGCGCCATCAATTCAAAATCTCTAAACTAGCTGGCTGGCTTTAATTCTAAGTGCCGTTGACGATGATAACACGCATTGGTATTTGAGTGTGTTACGTGACCATCCAAAGGTTGCTTAACAATCATCCCAGCGCCTGTGTGAAAATGGTTCTTAGGAAGCAATGAGCATTAGCGGCAAATTTGATCTTCCCACTTGGTTGTTAATCCTCTTTCAACATGAGAACGCGATGAGTTGATGCCTTGGTGATCCAGAATGGCCATCGAACCACAGTCGTGACCGATCACGAAAGCCTCAAATACATGAACACGACCCGCTCACCGTCGAAGCGCCTTGCGAGGTGGCTCGACGAATTCGGCGAATACTCGCTGGATATCAAGTATCGAAAAGGGTCTGAGGCTGTTGTTCCAGATGCCATCTCTCAACGACCAGATTTCATGGGCACCGCATCCGCTACGCAAGCCTGGATGCCAACTGCTGACGAGCAGATCGCGTCGCTCAACGCGTCGCTCAACGCGCACGAACTGCTCGAAGGGGAAGAGAACCCTCTCGACGAAGAATACGTATGGGAAGCAACCCTGATATCACACCTTCAACACCCTGAGAAACCCCTTTCAACCGAACCGAAACAAGACCTTAAAGGGGTTGACATCGAGAACTTTGCTGTTATCGAAGACCGCTTATCCGAAAGGTCGATGGCAGGTTCATCCCTTACATCGCAGCCCCATTTCGAAAGGACTTCGTCGAATACTATCATAGGCACTATGGACACTTCAGTGCTCCTGTGCTCGATGGTGTCGTCAAGTTCCGCGGATGGTGGCCGGCAATGCATCGAAGCGTTCGCAAATACGCCGAATCATGCCCTGAATGCCAATTAGCTCAAAAGAAGAAGGTTCGAAAGCAAGAACCATATACCCAAGTGCGTCTTGCTTCGAGACCCTTCGAAAAATGGGCAATCGACTTCGTTGGACCATTACCACGCACCCCAGACGGGTTCGAATGGATCCTGACGGCGATTGATTGGGCAACTGGATGGCCGCTTGCGAAAGCAACCAAAGATGCAACTTCGGAGACAGTGGCAGACTTTCTCTTCGATATTTACTGCCATTATGGAGCGTTTCGAGAACTCCTCTCCGACAATGGAGCCAATTTGACGTCCAGAACGATCGAACACTACCTCAATAGGGTCAAAGTTAAGCATCGAACGACGACCCCATACCATCCACAGACAAATGGCAAGGTCGAAAGGCTTAATGGTATGCTTGGAAGCATTTTAACCAAGAAATTGATGAATAGACCGATCGCCGAGTGGGCTTTACACCTGCCCGCTGCTCTCTTCGCCTGTCGAGTGAGAGCCCACAACGAAACAGGAATGTCTCCGTTTAAGCTTGTATACGGCATCGAACCACGCCTTACGGGCGACACGGAAGACTTCGACAAGGAAAATCTGGACAGAGACTTCGGTCTCCGCCTCGAAAGCCTACAAACCGCACGGTATGAGGCCAATCGAAGACTCATCGAGCGAGGGATCTATGCTCAAAAGCTGCGTCGAGATAGATTAACTCCCCTCGCTGAAGACTTGAAGCAAGGCGAATATGTGTTGATGACCAATGAACAACGCCGGAAGTTCGAAGCCACTTACTTCGGACCCTTCAAGATCGAGAAGAAGCTATGGTTCGGGGTATATATCCTCGCAGCCCGGATCGAAGGGAAGGATGGATGGCAAATCCTCCCGAAGCCCGTCAATGGGGCTAGACTTATACGATATCGCCCTGCGGACGACGCGGGCGATGAAATTAAAGCCATCATGACCTCTGCATGGCAGCGGCAGCTTCGAGACAAGGCTGTCAGCATCGAAAAGCCATCGAAAGATGTTCTGGAGGTCCTAGAGGAGGAGCGTATACCTCCAACATACGACGAACTCGCCACAATCCCCAAGAAACAATGGCTTGCTGAGAATCGACGACCAGGGGGTCGTTTAAGCAAAGTAGGGGAGGGCGATAGAGTATCGAAGCAGCCAGCTGATACTCCGAAGGGCGAAAGGCCTCGAAAGGCAGCAATCGAAGGCATGAGTACCCCTCCAGGAGCAATTCAAGAACCACGCACCCAAGAGAAGCAACACAGGATCCCACTCAAAGGGATCAAGACACGCTCGAAAGTATCTAGCCCCTGAAGACCTTGGCGCCTCTTGGTTGTGACAGTTCTAATCATCTCTGCCGTAGTTAACAGTAGGTACAGTAGATTGGAGACAGGTGTGAAATGAGTAGATGTAAAAGCTTACTTCTCCCGCAATGGCGCGGAATAGAGAAAATCGTCATCCACTGGTGACGGAGATGTCTGACCGCATAGGGCGTTTCACCATATCGAGATGTCGATTAACTACTTCATTACAGTAACCTCTCGAAATGACTTTAACTTAGGTTCTCCGGTGTGAAATAGTGTTCTGTAGATTTCTGAAGCTGCCGATTTTCTATGTTTGACTGGGTTCAAAGCCAAGGGATGCCTTCTGGATACTCGAATTGAAGTCCGTTAGTAATGCAAAGATCTTGTCTATGACGTCCCTCGATTTAGCAGCATTATTACTGCATTTCGCTGCCTTAGTTTTCCATTCCTGGATATACGCTTCGAGCTTTCGACTATCCTGTTGGACCTCTTCAACGGCGATCTTCATGCGAGCCACTTCCTCTTCTGCCTCCTGTCTCACTTCTGATTCTAGACTACCTTGTCCCTTCCACTCGTTTAGCTCGCGAGCTAAACTCTTCGCGGCCTTCTCAAGCTCGTTAATCCTTGCCATGAAACTCACGTCTGATTTCACGAAATGACCCTGCTTTTCGCATATTTAGGTAGCCTGATAGCATAGGTGAAAAACGTCCACAACGGTGATATCTACCTGTATATTTCCTATGCGTGCTGTCTGAGACGCCTTGCTAGAAGGTTCCCAAGTTGCAACGACACAGTTATCGTCGATACATTCACACAAGTTTTGGAGAGGCCTGATGGAGAATTCGTTCGGGTTCTTTGTTAAGGGATGACGCATTGCCCCGTCCCGTGGTGTTTGAGCTGGTCTTCAATGGCCGACGAGATGGAGTCTCGGGGGATAAGATGGAAGTCGGTCTCGAAGGGCACCGCGAATGTCAGCTCATTCCATGGAGCGCCGTTGAGGGTCGTTCGAGGCGGTGAGGAAATCGCAGCATTTTAGGGCATGGGTTCATGAAAAGGGGAGAATCTCTTTGCGAGACATGCTTTCCCCTGATTGTGTGACAAGGGCCAACTATTCCGACTGCTCCGAATCATTCCAAATGCTTTGGGGCTCGACTTCTCGATGCGTGAACCAGGTGTCCTGGACAGCCTCTTTCTGCTTTGCCGGCCAAAATGAAAAGATTCTGCTCTCATAGTCACCGTCCGAATCGAATAGCCCACTAAGACCAGACACCACCACTCGACCTGGTGCAGGCTGATAGCCAATTAGAGAAAATCCGCCCGCCTTCCTTTCATCATGGATTCTGAGATCCCAATATACGACACCCTCCTCTTCAAATAGTCGTATCTGACCCTTCACAGCACACCATGGCTCATTCGATGGCTCGCATGACTCCTCACGATATCGCCCCTCGACATTCAGAGCGTGCTCTTTGACTTCCTTCTCACGGAGGTCTAACACAAATGAAGGACTTGGGAAATCTGCCTCTGGTTTCAACGCAACGTTAATGCCACACCAAAATCCGAGACAGCACTCCCACCAGTCTTGGATCGCAGGTTCAAGGGTGACCAACGTGCTAAAATTGTGAATTTTAGAGTGGCAATAGGCTGTGATAGCGTATAGGACCTCCCATTGGGGCACATCGAAGAATTCCGGGTCCAGCTCTGACAAGGCCATTTTTTGCAATGGTAGCGCAAGAGGAAAGCCGGTAAATATTTGCAATAGTCGAAGACCGTGATCAACATTCCCACTCAAGGGCAGTTTGACCTTGCCGACCCAGTCCCGATCAACGATAGTTTTGTTCAGGAAGGTTCCATTTTTGGGGGTGGTGGACTCGCGGAAAATGGTGAGTAGTACCCCTATATCGTAGGGGTGCTTGTCGGGTTTCCGTAACCGCTCGGCGAGATGGCTATACCAGTTCCCCGGTGTCTGCATGGGATGGTCGAAGATTTCAAGAAATTTGGTCTTCCATAGGGACGCATTTTTGGGACCAAGTACGTGGTCAAGCTGTTTGCAGCAAAGGCGCACAGCGTTGATATCAGCACACGAAAGGAGAGTCGCAATACTGGTTAGAATTTCCGGGGCGATTGTTTGAAGGTACTGCTTCCTGTTGACGTCCATGACAACAGTTCAATCACCTAAGGAGATGATACTGATAGAAATTGGAAAGGAAAGTGAAAAGAGCCCTTCGAGGTGAATGAGAGGGGTGAGGCGGGGAGGCGGGGCTTGTTTTTCCTCCTTTTTAGGTAATTCCCGACGGCGCAACGACTTCAAGGCCCAAGTACTCGCGATCCGATAGAAAACAGAGGTCTATGGCTGATTCATATTATCTCGGCGTTGTTCGACCACCCTCTCGCCAATGACGCCCTACAATGCGCCCCCTTCGAAGCAACCATGTTTAACTCTTACTCGGACACCTAGAACACTGCGGGATGGGCGAAGTGAGTGCTTCTGCCCGTCGCCAGCTTCGCCGTACCAAATCGCCAGACAGTGTAGAGACACCAACGTGTCAGGATGATCCGAATTGCTGGTGGACTTGACCATCCCCAGAGTCGATGCAGGAACCTTCGCCAAGTTGGCCATCCAGCTTCCGGGATGAGGCGTCCCCATGAATATGAACCCCTTTGTGCACTCAAGCGTCTTGTTCGAATGGCCCTCGGGGTTGTGCCGCGACTGGAGGATCGCTTCTTTCCACACCAGCCCGCCCAAGCTGTGCGCCATGAGGGGCTGATCGGACGCATCGTGGTTCGCTCGATCGGTAGTTAGGTCATTCAGGAGGTTAGAAGCGTGATCAATCAGCCGGTTCGAGGAGGCGACCAATGTCTTCACTACGTACGCATCGTAGCCGTAGGTCAGGATGCGCGCGTGTTGGAGCTGGTGTGCCAGCAAACTCTGCGGCCACGGTTGGGATTCTCCTTTGGCCGGCCATGTGGTGTCACGGTTTCCGGTCAGACCATGGACGAAACAGATGTCGACCGTCGCGTCGGCGTTCTCGTGGAGCACTCCCATGGCTTTATTCGCACTTAAGCGGGGCCAAGATCTCCTGGGGCCCTCGCCACCCCTCCTGCAACCTACGAGCCGTGGTTACCGCAGCTGACTAAGAGCCGCTCGAAGGTAAGTACTTGATATGTGTCGCACGTGGCCGTTGACTTCCTATTATATCCTAAAAGGGGGGTTTGTCCCTCCGTCCATTTATTTTGATGTGGAGTCACTTAATTAATCGTCACGACTTTCTGTACCCCATCCTTATAGTACTACTTTGTATGAGAAAAAAAAA